GCATTGAGCATCTAGAAATTACAGTAATCTAATGTTTATCTATTATTGGCTGGTAATTCCTGTATCACCCTGTATTAAAGCTTTTCAAAGGAACACCAGATGTTTGTAAGAAAGCTAGCTTCAAGGGGTAATGATAATATTGTTTACACTAGAATTATGATGTTTTTCAGTTTATGTAAAGTGTAGAAGAAACAAATCAACTTTTCAATACCCCTATGACCTTCACAGAACCTTATTTAAAAAAGGGTTGGGGTGCAATATACCAAGCCATTTTTGTTGTAAACTGGCAAGAGAATAACAATAATAAGAATTACAAATGGGCCATTTTGAGGGGATTTTCTTTTCTTTGCAAGTCTAACAATGAGTGCTTTTTTGTGTATTTTTATATGTGTACAGCCTTATTAGTCAATAGTAAAAGTTTTAAAATGTTGCTTGAACTGAGTCTTTCCTGTTTAAGCTGCTTTTGCCCAAATGTTCAATTAGGGTTTTGTGCAATTCCATGTGATCCCAATTATGAACCACTATCATGGTTCATGATATTTCATTTTTACTAATGATGTTGAAGTATGTAGAAAAAAAATTCTTTGTGAAACAAGATGGGGTAGGCTTAATTAACTCACTTTGCCCTTGACCAAATCAAGTGTCATTTCACCAACAAGGGTGTTGTGTTAGGTCCTTTTTACATTAGGCCATATCGACCTAATTAATTGCTTGAAAGTGCAAAGACCATTACCATATAGAAATGCAAACAGTATAGAAATACATATATATATGAATGAATATTAAATGTGTTTAAAAACTTATAACCCATATTAAATGAAATCTTCTGATTGACAATTTCAACAAAAGTCAGCTTGATGACAATATTTGATATGATAGTTATTTTTATTGTGCACCAGTGACCATAAACACAGTGAAACTGCATGCATTATTTTTTAATCAAAACAAAGATAATATTTACAGTTTTATACAATAAAAACTTCATGCAAAAGTTTTAAAGGTATGTTGGAAGACATAAAAGTCAGTGATTAATATCTATAACATGAATAAGTTTTTCCCCCATAAACATCACAATAAAATCTTTCTTAAATTTCAAAGTTGCAAATTCATCCATTATCACATATGAAAATATTTTACTGAAAAACTATGTAATCTGTAGAAAGTAATTTTGAAGTTTCAAACTATTTCATGCAGAATGTTTTTTGGGGTTTTTTTCACAATACAAGAGAGCAAACAGTACACCAGGTGCACCAAATCTGGGTCTCATGGATTTAAAGAAATTGGAAAGCTCAAGAAGATTGAAATGGAAAAATTGGTAGAAATATACTCCCTTTCATAGAGCTCGATCAAACATAATTTTAAGTATATCATTTTTTCCATTTTGGTTACGTGAAGCACAGTAAATTTCTACAAAACTTGTCTTCCATAATAAAAAGTCTGTTTAAATTTGATGACAAGGAGCTTGCTTTTTAGAAATTAAGAGTTTGGAGACACCATGAGAGGATAATGAAGAAAACTTTATTCTATATTTAGGACGTTTTGACAAGATTATGTCATCCTCGGGTACAAGTAGTTTACAGACACACATGAATATATGTATATATATATATATATATTCAGTATGGAAGAACGAGGTAACATGACCACAGACTGCTTCACAGCCTAGTAGTTATCTTGGTAACCAAGTGTGTTGGTTTAGAGTAGGGCTGCTTTGTTCAATTGAGATAACTTCCTTTATTCTGTATTTACTGATGTTTGGTTTAAAATCACTGTATTTTGTATATATATATATACTGAGGTTGCAATTCTGGTAAACATGAGAAGATTTTTTATTATGTTTGGTGAATATGGTTTCCAATTTTCTTCCAGTTTCAACAATGTAGAATTCTGGATAGTTAGTGCACATTATTTTATAAATGACATTGGTATTGTGTTTGATTCTATGTAATTTTTATTTGATAATAATTTTAGCTTAAGTGTGGATTTTTGGGTGAATTTGAAGTCAACAGGAATTTTATGTTTAATGGTAAGTTTTCGCCAAGTGTTGATTAGTTTTGAACTGATGTCAGGGATAAATGGTAAACTGCATCATAATGTTGTGTTGTTTTTTGGTGTATTAGAGTCTTTGTTTTGTTTGTTTGTTAAGCACAAAGCTGCACAATGGGCTATCTGTGCTCTGCCCACCACAGGTATCAAAACCCAGTTTATAACGTTGTAAATCCGCAGACATACCACTGGGGGGCATATTAATGTCAATTTTGTTTGTAAGTTGAGTTTGAGGTTTTTGTTCTGGTGGTTGTGTGTAAATTTTTAGACAATGGTTAGTGGAAACTTGTTGTGTAAATGAAAGAATGCTTTTCTACAGTTGATTTCTTCATCTATGTAGTCAGTTGAGCAAAGTCTTGAAGCTGTGTCTATAAGGTTTTTTAGTATAATGATTTTTATTTGGATTCATGGATGGAATTAAAGGGGATGTAGAGGTCTGGGTGAGTGATTTTTAGTGAATTTTGGTTTTGAACTGTGTGTCAGATCTAACAATGTACAGGTTAAGATAGCTGTTTGTTATTTTCATCTTCAACAGTGAATTTAATATTAGAGTAAATGGAGTTTATGTGTTCAAAAACTTGTGTATGTGTTCATCAGAAGTGAAACCAGCAAAAGTGTTGACATATTTGTACCAGTATAGGAGAGGATAAAGTGCAGATTGTATGGCTTGTGTTTTAATCTGGGTCACAAATATGTTGGCAAGAACAGGTGAAACAGGGTTACCCATGCTTAAGCCATCTATTTGAAGAAAGTTTTTGTTGTAGTGAATTCTAAGATGGAATATGATATGAATTAAAGAACTGGGGTCATTACAGTAGAGGTCAAGTGCAATATTCTTTGAAAGGAACTTTGGTGAAAAGTGACACAATGTGAAAGCTAGCCTTTAAGAGTTTAGTTGGTTTAATGTGTTTCTGAAGTAAAAACATCTTTAAAAAAAGGAACCTGCAGAAGTTATGTAAGGTGTGAGGGCCCATGCTATGTATTTCCAAAGATTATAGTTCAATGAGTCGTAAGTGGATATTATAGGTCTTATGGGGCAGTCTTGTTTGTGTGGTTTGGGAATGCCATAGAGTTACAGTGTGCATGAGTCAGTTTTCCTAAGATAAAAATAAAGATCTGTAGTAATTAAGTTGTCTTTCTTCATTTGTGACAGGGTCTTCTTCAGTTGTTTTTCATGTATGTTTGTTGGGTTGTTTAGAATGGGTTTAAATTTCTTATTGTCTAAAAGGATGTTGTTCGTGTTGTCAATGTATTCTGTATTGTTCATGATTACAGTAGAGCTGGCTTTGTCAGCTTTTAAAAATTTAATGTTGGTGTCAATTTTCAAATTGTACATGCATTTTATCTCATTGCTTGTGAGATTGGTCTTCAGTTTAGGGGTTTGGTTAACTACATTATTGGTTTGAAAAAGTTGTTTGAGATACAGTTTTTGGGAACTTCAGGAAACCACATTTTGTTATAATTACCTATCACAAAAGTCTGGTGGTCTGAGTTTTGGATTTCTTCTTCTTGTTGGTTGCTGTATAAGATGAAAGTAGCCTTTTGTTCTTTTATGTAGTGAATCACTAGTCATCTGGTTAAATCTTCTAGGCAGGGAACTGTCTTGTGCCTGATGATGAAGTTTAGGCCTTTGCTCAGAAGTTTTGGTTCAGTGTTCGATCTGATCTGTCGATAACAAGAATATATTGTGCTTTGTTGTTGTATCCCCTTTCATGTTGTAGTAATTTTATCTACAACTACTTGTAAAGGATGACAACTACTGAGGATGATATAATCTTGTTGAAACATTGTACAGTACACCACCGATTTTCCGGCAAATGATGGTCCAGCACCTCCTTTAATCCAGACAGAATTACAAGAGTGCACTTGAAATTCATGCGACCACCAGAATAGTTCACTGGGCAGTCACAGGTAGCACTGCATGTGGTGCACGCTCTTTCGGGATGGGCTACTTACATTTTAAGTACGTACATCACTCTCGTGAAAATTTTCTTATAAATATTAAACTAGTGGATCAAATTGCTCGAATTTTTTTATGAATGTTGCCAAGAATATGTAGTTTAACATATTAGTAGTAATCCTGACAGCCCTCAACTTCCAGACCTTTGTGATTAGTTCTACAATTCTAGTAAAATTCTAAAATTTGCCACTTTGGAAGCGGTACTACTGCAACATTCTTTGTAAGTACAGTAATTGATAAAACTTTTTCATTTATACTGTACTAATAAACCTGTATCATTTATACCTGTACTAATGTATTTCATTAATCATTTAATTCACATTTAATATTTGTTTTATTTAAGTTTATAGCAGTCCATGGTGCTTTAGAGACACATGAGGGGTATAATTAGTAGGTCAGAGGTGTATTGTTGAACTATTATTACGTGACCTCTGTTGGTCTAGCAAAACGGATAATCCTGCAAGGCTCTGGAAGCAAGGATGCCAGAAAATCGGTGGTGTACCTGTACATTTATAATAAAGTTTCCTTCATTACCCAGTCAAGTCATCTACAAACTTTTAGAAAGCCTGTTTCTATTAGCAACATAACTAAGTTATATGTACATATTTATATCACGGTCAACAATCTGAACAGTCAGTCTGAGGCTTTGGATGGTTGTTTTAGTCAGTAAAAAGATGATTTGAATGTCCATAAAGTATTCTACATATACTACCTTATCCTCTATTTCTTTTATATAAAATTCAGAACTTCTATTCTCCACATAAAAGTTGTAAACCTTAGTAATTCTCAAAATACTGATATTATTTTTTAGTTGTGATGAAATACATGTTGATAAAACTAGAGTATTCCCTATTAAGTTCTTAGTTTGTTGTATACCAGTATCACTAACAAAATTCAACTATTTGTAGTTTATTTCACATTTGGCTACTGAAATATGGAGAAATATACAATAATCTGAAATGATTAAGAGCCAAATAAGTCAAAGATTACTCACTCTGTCACATTATGAAAAGCTTTGCAAAGAACAGACAAAAATTCCCTTGAAAATTCTGGTCCCTTCTTCTTGCTGTTTTGAATCACATCGTTAGCTAAGTACATCATTGTCAGCTTTCGACTTGGTTTTGCTATTAAAAAAAAAGTATTTCTGTTAACAAAAAACACAAAGTTGAATTTTAAGATGTACAACTGTAGTGGTCTGGTTTACAATTTGAACTAAATATTTTTATCTGCATAAGATAATGTTTTTAGAATAAAATTAGTATTCTTTATTGTCAAGTCACACTTGTACACTATCTTATTTTCATTATGTTATATAAAATTTTGTTTTACAGATAATAAAATCAGATATATCTAAACTGTTAATGATCTTTACATTTAAACAAGAGGTGCAGTATATTATGCTGGCTTATTTTCTGGGGCATATGGAACTGCATGGAACTTAGCAAGAAAAATCTTTGCTTTTATTTCAAAATTTTATATCGTTTAATATCATATAATGATTATTCTCTTAACAGTGTCTGTTAATTTTCTGTGCAAGGTTGATTTTGTTTTATATTGTAATCTTAATACAATTGATATGTAACAAAATAATAAACTTTTTGGGAAAAGAAAGGTATTCCTTTAAAAAAATGAATGATTCTTAGGAATGACACATCTCAAAAGTATATGCAAAAAATATAAACACAATATACAGAAGCTAAACCAATTAACTTTGTGATTTCTAATAAGATTTTGCTATTATATAGATCACTCTTACGAAAATATTCCTGGAAAAGGACCCTTTAGTTTAGGTGGGAAATAATTCAAAGCAGATTTGTTTTCAAATTGCAAAAATACATTCATATAAGACTAAAAATTATAACACTATATTACTTATCAAACAAAAAATATAAAAAAATGGTATTTAAAAGAAAGTTTATATTCAAAATTAAATTTTAATTTTTAATACTTAATTTATAGCAAAATATGTAACCAGGAAAATCTGTCAAGTTACACCATGAAATCTGAACTGTTCACGGGTACCATTAACATTTAAGGTGCAATTTATTAAACAAGTAACAAAAACAAGCTTTGCTTGATGCATAAAAAACGTTAAGAAAATTGTACAAACAGCTAACAAAATTAGAATAGTACTTGTGAAAAAAATACGGCTGTGTTGAAAGGTTCGAACTTTTGAGGGTTCATTAACTAGCCAAAGAGTTGAGGATAGATCTTTAGAATCACACTGGTGCACTTTTGTCAACATTATCAGTGTTGGTTTATATTTTATGTTTCATACTTATTCTGTTGTAACATTTCTTTAGCATCTTGTGCACTAAGTATTCAGTACATTTTACTAAAGCAGTAAGCTGCTAAATGTATTCCATCCCTGCCCCTTTGTGCTCCACCATAATGAATTGCTGCAGAGCATGGAAAAAAAACTGGTGCATATAACATTTTGGTGGTGTGTGTGTGTTTTGCTTTTAATGCAACAATTTTTGTTTAAGTAATAGGCATTATACAACTCAAAAGGTCAAAAATTTACAAACGAGTTGCATTTAATGTGTGATAACAATTCAGACATTGTTAAATGATTTCTGTGACGAAAAGGAAAAAAAAAATTGCTATTGATTTAATACTGCCTGATGAATCATCAAATGTTTACTCCCCACAACAAGGCATATGTTTAATCAACAATGTCATTAGAAAATGTGACTGATAATAATACTTCCTCTTTTAACTTTTTGGTATAGTTGAAGGTCTATGTTTATTTTCTTATCAAACTGTTAGTGTTATTCTGTCCCTTTGCAGTTTATTAGATACATTCAATTAATCAAAATTTTCTGTTATAAAGACTAACTGTTAAACTGCTTGGAATGGTGACTGCTAAATAAAAGTTTGTTTTGCTTAAGTCAGATACAACTCTTTTAAATGGTTGCAACAGGGTACTCTTTCAACACAAGCTTACTGTAAGTAGCTATACGATCATTGCACATATATATATAATGCATTTTAAACTACATGTGTACATTTTATTTATTTCATATGGATTGTGTGTAAAATAAAGGGTTTTTAATTAATTATAAACTAGTAGCTATGGTTACATCATCAGTAAATTATGCAAATAAGAACTATCGAAGGTTCGAACCTTTGTTTGATAATGTGTTCCAAACCTTCAAAAGTCAAAATCTACTCTTCACTATAGCACTAGAAAAAGTAAACATCCAAATGTCAACAAAAGTTCAAATACTTGTTTCAAATTAAAAACAGTCTACACGCCATAGCTTAGTTGTCATGTCATTATTCACTTGTATACAACCCGATTTGTACATTTATTTACAGGATACAGCAAATACCATGTTTCCTTGTACAAAATTGTATTTTTTTTCATCATTATATATTAAGAGATTAGCATAAAAATAATGTGACAATAATACACACACATATATACTTATGTAAAAATGAACAAACTTCATATAATTTGGAATAGACAACTCAACCCTAGCTCTTCCAAGCTCCAGAAAAAGTAAGTCTATAAACTTAGGCCTCTTTTCTAAACTCAAATTTCTTAAACCATTTATCATTCTCAATACAGCACCTGCAATCTATTTTTCATTCATTTCAGCATGTTGATATCCTTCTTATAGGAGAAATTAAAACTTCACACAGTAATGAAAGTGAGACCAGTCTCATTCATACATCATAACATTATTACCTTTAAAATCTCTTACAGATGTATAAAATAACTTAGAACTTTTTGTTTCTATCACTGCAGCTAAACTATGGCTGCCAACTTTTAATAAGTTATTTGAGTGAGACTTTAAAAAAGTAAAATTTTAAAGTGCAGTAAAGTGTTGCAAGTGACTAAGGCTGTCACAAGTTTCAGTGAGGGGAGGTCTGTAAACACGCTTCCCACCTCTGAAAATTCTTTATTCAATAAAGCAAAATAGTGCAATCTGGTGTATGTCCTGAATCAATGTGATGCCAAAACATAAAATTTTTCTTTTTACTTATGCATATGAGCATGAGAATAAGTCCAGATGCTTGAAGTCTGACATCTAGGAACTTCACCCTCAAACAATGCAATATCTGCATAGCAACTGAGGCGAAGGGGCAAACAAATTGTGCAACAAAGGGGAAATTTTATTCATTCTGTACACTTGCCTGCTGTCTAGACCCGTATTCATAATGATTATTTGTGTTTGTGAAGAACTTTTGTTGTTCCAAACCTGCAAATATGGTATAGAGTTATGTATTGAATTGCATCAATGAGTTGAAAAGACCTGAACTTTCCTTTTATTTGATACCTAGTTCTTCAGTTTGCCTTAACAGTAAAGAATAGTCTTAAGACAATTTGTTGATAATTGTTTTAAAATCTAGTTTCAACCTGGTAGTTTACTATTTAGTGCATGTTTTCCCACAAAAACAAGCTACTGAAAAGAAGAGAAGAACGTTGTGGCTGAAAGCTATCAAGTGCAGAACACAGGAAGCAACAGCAAAGCTGTGGGAGCCAAAATCTGACTATAACTATGTGTGTTCAACTCATTTTATATCATGTAAATGTTGTCTTCCAATTGTTTTTTAACACAAGGTAATTTTACACATCTGGGTACTGCACACTGGGTCATTCTGTTGGGTTGTTGTTCTACGAGTAGGCAGGGTGCTGGTAGGGACAAGAATGAAGCCCAATTAATTGCAACTATACTCGATATATCACTAATGCCTTGGCAAAAAACTTCTCCATGTATTGATAAGAAATACATTACAATTGATAATTTGATTCTCAAACAATATTATATGAATGATAATTGAAGATTTTGCATAGCAGCTTCAGCTATATAAATTGCATATACGCAGCTGTACACGCTTCACTATTGTTTGCCACTTTGTCAAGATCGCTATCACATTACCAGGCAAAATCACATGACTGTAGCATCATGCCTAACTCAAGAATGCAATAGTAAAACTATGGGCCAGTAAAGCCATGGCTTTAAATTTTGTTTTACATGTAAATTATATTTTTAGCAATCAAATTAGGTAAATATAACAAAAGAAAACTATTCACAACTATACATATATTTATATAATGATTTAAGCTTGAAGAAGACTTCAACGACTTTATTCTTCAACAACACAAATATCAATGACACAAACTACAATATCAAAAACCCTCAAACATAATTGTACAAACTTACTAATTTAATACGTCTCTATCTTATAACATAAGTTGACATACCTTATGTACATATATAAATATAATAAACTTAGAAATTAAGTCTAACTTAGTGACTAATGTAACTTCTAAGTTACGCAACGTCACTAATTCGATTTTTCACTATACCTAGTGATACTGATAGTATTACTATTAGTACTAGTAATTTATTAATATTAGTACTACTTAAGTCCTATTATTACTAATACTAGTAATATTAATAACATTAGTATTACGATTAGCATCAAATGCTAAACTTGAGAAACAAATAGTACGCTTCTAAGTTACTGAACACGTCACGAAGGCTGAAGTATTACTAGTACTAGTCTATAGTCATTAGTATAGTAGAAACTTAGAAAGGGCAACTTCAAATGCTACCTTTTAAAAGCTCACGATACCAAACTTGAACAATAGTTTTATGGTGCTTTCTATGATGAATTAACCACAGAGACAACGTTTGAATACTCTGTTGAGAACAATTCAACTCAGCAAGTTTTTTCTCTAAAGCAGCATCAGTAAATCCCGACATTTTTCACTATTTTACAATTTTAAGGCTTAAGGTAATGGCTTCTTGCACTCTGAATGCAAATAATTATAGGGGGAGATACAAATTTAGAAAGCAACAAAAAGCTGACAAAAAATAATAATTAGTGCGATTTATTAAGTTAGTACTGAAACAACGTTTGATAAGTCCATACTTCTTTAATATAGAATTAAAAGAAAAGTTGGTAAAACAAGAAATTATGACATTTAAAAGAATGTATGAGAAAAGGTTGGCTGAAAGTGTAAAAATTAAAATAACAGTAAGGATTTCTTTAAATACATTAAGGGTAAACAAAATGTTAGGATGGGGTAGAATCCTTTAGGGATAATAAAGGAAGGCTCGTATTTGATGATTATGAGATGGCTGGGTTATTAGATTTTGCTTTTTATTCGGTTTTTACTAATGAATATTTAAGCAGAATTCCATATCTTGACCAGTTGATAGATGGAAACAAGATCGAACAAAATGACTGCATTAAGTATGAGCTGGTTGAGAAATAATTGGGACATTTAAAGGACGATAAGGCTCCTGGGCCAGACAATATTTCTCCAAGGGTTTTGTAGGAGGTTAAGGATTGAATATGTTAACCCCTTACTACTAGTTTTCATCAATTGTGGGAAAGGTTTTGAAAATTCTGATAAAAAATACTTTGCAAAGTCATTTAACAAAGTTTAGAACCTTATTGGATAGTCAACATGGTTTCAATAAGGGAAAAACTTGCCTTACAAATCTTTTGACGTTCTTTGAAAAAGTTACTGCTCATGTAGATGAGTGTAAGAGTGTATAGTTGGTGTATCTGCATTTTTAGAAAGCATTTGACGATGTGCCACACAAAAGGCTTGTGAAAATTATCTATATAGGTATGGGGAATAAGTTAACAAATTGGATAGAAGAGTGGCTGAATGAAAGAAAGCAGATAGTTGTTACAAATGGAGTTCAGTCAAACTGGATTAATGTCACAAGTGGAGTACCTCAGGGCTTAGTCTTAGGACATTTGGCTTTTATGATTTACATCAACGACATAGATGAAAGAATGTTCAATAAATTACTTACATTTGCAGATGATATTAAGGTCTTGGGTGTTAATAGTTGTGAAGAGGATGCTGCTGATTTACAAAAGGATTTAGAACATTTAGTGAGTTGGGAAAATAAATGGTAAATGGATTTTAATTATAATAAATGCAAGATAATGCATGTGGGTTATCATAATTTGAATTATAAGTATAATTTG